CTGAAATAAAGTTTAAAAATCAGTTAACTTTTTTTGTTTAATAGAAGAATTAAACAGGTATGATGATGAAGTCCAGCTGTCATCACAACTTGGTATCCACCCACCCCCCAGCCCCCCTCCGCTCAGCCCCTTCCTCCTTCATCGGTGGTTCACAGAGAGGATACAGCCAGGCGAAAAATGGGAGTAGAAATTGAGACGATAACTCCGGGAGATGGTGAGGGAAAAGCCTTGTTTTGTTTTAATTTAATTGCGAGTTAATTTTCTCCGCAGTGAACCTCAGCTTTCATGTTTTACGCCACACTGTTTAATGATTTCCAGGACGGACATTCCCGAAGAAGGGACAGCGCGTCGTCGTTCACTATGTCGGTGAGTGGAAAGAATGGTCAACGGTTTACAAATGGCATGTTTTCATCTTTTGTTTATCTCCACGCAGTAATTAATTCATTCCTGAAGCGTGAAAAGACTGATTTAAAAATAGCCGAGCAAGTTGGAACATAGTTTAGCTTAACCGTTAGCATGGAAGCTACACCTCCTTAGGTTTATTGCTGTTACTTTCTATAGCTAAAATAAAAACTATTCTTGAGTTAAAAAGCGTTTTTCAATTGTCTTAACTCCATGTTTAACATCGTTAAACAGAAGGAAGCGTCTGATCTTTTTGGTAAGATTAATTAGTTGGACTGTTGTTAGCTAACTGCTGTTAGCTTTGAGGTTAGCCTGGCTAACGCTAGCTTTCGGGGACTTTTTGAAGGCTGTCTATGGGTGAACACAAACTTCACCAGCTGCCAATTGTGTTTTCATTCAGGTACTCTGGAAGATGGGAAAGTTTTCGACTCATCGAGGTCCAGGGGGAAACCTTTTAAGTTCAAGATTGGCAATCAGGAGGTGATCCGAGGCTGGGAGGAGGGAGTAGCTCAGGTGAGCTGAACTCCACAGCAGCTAATGAAAGAGAAAATAATCAGAAAGCTACAACTGCTTGACTTTTACTCGGTTGTTTTGCTTTTCTTTCAACAACATGTGGCTTACATGTTGTTGGACCTTAGAAAAATGTATAAGAATAGCATACTAGTGAATATTTAAGCATAAAATTAGACATGCCACATGTTAGACATCATTGGAAAGATTAGATTCTCCACAATTTAACCACCAATTAATGTTAGAACTGTAAATATACAGTCATGTTTATATTACTATTTATGTATTTATTAGTGTTTTTAAGGCTGCACTTTAAAAAATGCAATTGTCTAGAGCTGTTTTAAACGCAATTTCCTTTTGTATACACGAATGTATACAAAAGGAAATTGAGTCTACCAAGTTCATTCAATGGACACAGTGAGCACCAAAGCACAATTAACACAGATATAGCAGCATGTTAAAATGTAAACATGACAAAGCAGTCACAACTGCATACCTTTGAAGGCAACCAGAAGCAGTTTTTTTGAGGTAAACAACAAGATACTGTACTGCGAAGTGTTTAACAAAATGAAACTGCACCTGGAGATTACAATGACCAATATACAGCTATGGACATTTTAACAGTAATGGATATTTGAAAATGGCAGCAACATCAGAGATGTGCAAAATGACAGCAGCATGTTATTTAACTAAGAA